CCACAGTTCTTTCGGTTTACCTTCAGATGGAGTTATTTTAAAATTTATAAATGCCTTTGTTAACAGTATGCCTTTGTTCCATCATTCAAGCTGACTTGGAACTTGCAACACATCAATTAGGCTATTTGACAAGATTGTGACTGATTTGATTATGGCTTTTACTTTACTGCATACCCACTATACCTACTGACGCCCTTGTCAGTCGAGAAACTATTTAATGCAGCATTAAAAATATTCAGTGGCCATGCCTGCATTACTTTCTGTGGAAGAGAATTCCGGATTTAACTTGGTTTTAAAAGTGAGACATGAGTGCCTCAGTACTGTGCCATAGGGTCTGGCAGAGGTTTGATAATTGTTAATTTACTGTCCTAACTCAAAATTGTAAGGGCTTGTATTAATCATCTAAAGCAGGGCCTCTTCAAGTCAAGGTCAGGACTCCAAGCAGTGTCACTTGCTGAAATTTTGTGGTGGTGAGCTCTGAAGCAACAAAAGCAGACAAGTTATGACAGCTGTGCTTCTCATCTGACAGTTTTCATTGCGAGGTAGCAACAATTTTCAATCGCTGATATGGAATCACAGGGAAATGTTTAGGAAGCACTGATCTATATATGGTGCCATTTTGTTTAGATTCTCGGGGCCTGGTATCTGTGGGCCAACTCTTTTTTTGTTTATTGTTTTCAATCTGGCTCCATTGTCTAGATAGCAGCCAGATCAGTTAACTTACCACTGGATTAAGGATGATGGGTTTCACATTGAGGAAGCTCTCAAAATTTTCATAGTTTCCCAGAATTAGCAGAGCACTCAACAGGTTAATATATATGCATGACCAGTGACATGAGATTTTTAAAACTTTGGTGATCAATTGCACCATAAGACCATAAGAAAAAGGATCAGGAGAAGGCCCTTCAGCCCCACCAAGTATCCTCCACCATTCAATAAGATCATGGCTGATCCAACAGTCCTCACTTTCCTGCCATTTCCACATAATCCTTGATTTCCCCTACTGATGAAGAATCTATCCATCTCAGCCTTAACTGCACACAAGGCTTCTAGCCTCACAGCTTTCTGTGGCAAAGAGTTCCAACAATACTCAACCCTCTGAGAAAGAAAATTTCTCCTTATCTGTGTTAAATTGGTGCCCCTTAATTCTGAGACTATGCCCTCTTGTCCTAGACTCTCCCAGTGGAAACATTCTCTGAGTATTTACCCTGTCAAACTCCTTAAGAATTCTTTGTTTCAATGAGGGTTTTTTTTAATTCACTCATGGGATGTGGACATCTCTGGCTAAGCCAGCATTTATTGGCCATCCGTAATTGCCCAGAGCAGTTAAGAGTCGACCACATTGTTGTGGGTCGGGAGTCACGTGTAGGCCAGACCAAGTAAGGATGGCAGTTTCCGTCTTTAAGGACATTAGTGAACCAGTTGGGTTTTTCCAACAATTGTTTCATGGTCATTGTTAAACCCTTAATTCTAGATTCTTTATTGAATTCAACTTCCACTTTCAGTTGTGATGGGATTTGAAACCCAGCCCCCAGAATCCAGTTGAGTTTCCAGTTTTAATTGTCTAGCAGTAATTCACTCGGCCATTGCCTCCCCCAATCACCTCATTCTTAAATTCCAGCAACTAGAAACCTAATCATTTTAGCCTTTGCTCATTAGACAATCCTTTCATGCAGGGGGTGGTCTTTGTGAACCTTCTCTGAATTGCGTCTTGTGGAATAATATATTTTCTTAAATAAGGGGACCAAAGCTACTCACCATACTCCGGGTATGATTTCCCAGTACCTTGTATAGTTACACTAAGACTTCCCTACTCATTCACTCTAACCACCTCGAAATGAGAGCCAATTTTCCACCAACCATCCTGATTACCTGCTGCACGTGTGCTAGCCATTTATGTTTTGTGTGTAAACCCAAGCCCCTTTTATGTTGCAGCTTTATGCAGTTTTTTTCCACTTTAATATATTCTTTTGTTCTCCCTTACAATATGAACAGTTTCACGTGTTCCCACATTATACTCCATTTGCCAATTTTTTGCCTACTTACTTAACCTATCAATATCTCAGTAAAATGTATCCTTCTCGCAACTTGCCTTTCCACCATTTTTTTTTGTGTCATCTGCAAATTTGGCTGCAGTGCATTTGTTTCCTTCCTCCAAGTCATTAATAAATATCGCGAACAGTTGTGGTCCCAGCAGTGATATCGTTGTGGAATCCCACTAGTCGTAGGTCACCAACTGAAAAAGAACCTCTTCTCCTCACTCACTGTTCTCTGCCCGTTAGCCAATTCTCTTTCCATGCCAGCATCCTACCTTCAATACCAGGGGCTCTTTTCTTAATGGTTTCTCATAGTTTATTTTCTCTCTTTTTGTTATCTTTTTAGTCCTCCTTTGCTGGATTCTGTATTTATCTCAGTCTTCAGGGCTGTCACTGACTTTGTCTCTTTGTATGCTTTTTATTTCAACATGATGATCTCCTTAAGTTGCATATTTAACCAGGGTCTGTTATGGTTTCAACTTCATGGACTAAGCAGCTAAATCATTGCTGACGAAATCCTAAAGGCAGAAATAAACGTGAGACCGGTTGGTGGAGTCTTAGAAAGATGGAACTTGGGAGCAGGACTAGGATGTTTGGCCTTTCGAGGCATTCCACAAGAGAATGGCCGAGTTGGTTGTCAGACTTCGCTGTCTGACCCCTAAACCCATGACTCCCTTTTCTCTCTAAAGCCTATATGAATTAACCTTAACTAAGAACAGTGGCTTGTTTCACCATTTTCCAAGGAAGACAGCTGTACAGATTAAGCCTCTGAGTCAATTAAATATTTCCCTTTGTCTCCATCTTAAAGGTAGCACTAAGATCATCTCTCATTCGTGTAAACTCCAATGGGCACAGGGACAACCTGTTCAGCCTTTCATCATTAGGTGAGCTCTTCATCTCAACTGGTCAAGACTTGTAATTTGTATGATAAACATTATTGACAGTTTCTTGGTAAAATTCTTTTTGTCAAGCAACATTATAACTGTGTCAATGGCACTGCAAAGATGCAATGGATAATACCTGCTTTTGTTCCAAGTCAGACTACATAAGAGTAATTAGTGGCAATAATGAAATAATTTTCTTTCTATGTATCTTAAAATCACGTCAAGCAACCATCCACAAAATAAATGTGTGTTTGTAGATTTCTAAGAAAATATCAGAATTGCCGAGCTGAGTTTTCCCTAATCTTCCCAATTTGAATTTGTTTTATAATACTAATTTACATAATAAGCTAGCACTTTTTTTCTGCCCTTGTGAACTCATTATACTCCTACACGATCTTGTGCACGTCAGAAATATTTTTCTTGGGTTATTGTTTATTTTAAGAAGATAACAGCGAGGATGGATTTAGTGGGCAGTAACTCCTTATTTCTATGACGTTAAGAAACTGGTGTTGCTAGTTTAATGCATCACTACAGCCTCTGAGTTATTGTCACAAAGCACATTTCAAGATGTTTATTGTAAATTTTAAACTTTATTATTTAAACTGAAGAAAATTGGCAGAATGTAATTATGCAGCCAGGAAATGCTGACTGATCCTTTGTGTTCCAAGAAATTCCTAAAAAATCAGTAGAGAAATCGAGAAGGCATTCTGCATTTGGACTTGCTTTATTGGGTTTGGCCTCCTTTCCACCTGGTACTGTTATATATCTACACATGTTACAATTGATAAGCTCATCTGTTCTCTCAACAAAAGAAAGAAAATTTATTGGACAGCAAAGTAAATTATTGTTTCCCAGGAGATAATAAGAGAGACAACTCCTTGAAACCCAGTGTCAGCAATGGAAGGTAAATCTGGATTAATTTGAATGAAATGTAGCTGTGGCTCAAATCAATCTAGTAATATACTTTAGTTCTTACTCTGAATATATTTTATTCTATTTTTATTGCCTTGGTTGTATCATTTTAGTAGACCATTTTTGGAAATGTTTGGAATTGAATTTGCAGGCACATTTATCTTGCACAAATGTGGTGAAGGCATTTTTAGCAGAGATACTTTTGAGCTTCTATTACATCAGCATTTTGAAAAAGTGCTTTTGCATTGCTCATTTAATTAGGGCAATCGGAGAGCAATACTGAAATTTGTTCTCCATGTTCTGGCTGTAGAATCTGGATCCCCACTTGTGGGTATTAACTCTTCTATAGAGTGTAATGGAGCAAGGAAGCACCTAGTGCAATGCTGAGTTATACAGACCAGAGATTCTCCGGTTTCATTTCACCGATGAAGAGCGGATGAGTGCTACTGTGAACCCTCGTTCCCATCTCCACATTTCTCCCTACCAAGCTCTACATGTCCTATCAACTATGTACCATCTTTCCCTTAGCCTTCAGATCTGAATATTAGCTTGGTAACTTTATCTATAGTCACTATTCCATCCTCGGCTGCAGATGTGGCATGAATATATTTGTGTGTGGGATGATAGTTGACCTTTGTGAACCCTTCATATGGGAACAACTCTGACAGAGGATCCTGATTCCGATTAACATCCAATTCTCATCCTTGAAATCCTTGACATGTATAAATGTGAGGTTATTCACTTTTGGAAGCAAAAACAAGAAGGTAGATTACTAGAGATAACAAGGTGTAGAGCTGGATGAACACAGCAGGCCAAGCAGCATCAGAGGAGCAGGAAAGCTGACGTTTCGGGCCTAGACCCTTTTTCAGAAATGGGGGAGGTGAAGGGGGTTCTGAAATAAATAGGGAGAGAGGGGGAGGCGGATAGAAGATGGATAAAGGAGAAGATAGGTTGGAGAGGAGACAGACAGGTCAAAGAGGCGGTGATGGAGCCAGTAAAGGTGAGTGTAGGTGGGGAGTTAGGGAGGAGATAGGTCAGTCCAGGGAGGACGGACAGGTCGAGGGGACGGGAAGAGGTTAGTACGTAGGTGAATGGCTGTAAATTGGGAGAGAGAAGTGTGCAGCGGGACCTGGGTGTCCTTGTGCATCAGTCGCTGAAGGTAAGCATGCAGGTGCAGCAAGCAGTAAAGAAGCCAAATGATATGTTGGCCTTTATTGCGAGAGGTTTCGAGTGCAGGAGCAGGAATGTGATGTTGCAATTATACAGGGCCTTGGGGAGGCCACACCTAGAATATTGCATGTGGTTTTGGTCTCCTTTTCCAAGGAAGGATGCTCTTCCTCCCGAGGGAGTGCAGCAAAGGTCTACCAGGCTGATTCCAGGGATGGCAGGACTGATGTATGAGGAGAGATTGACTAGGTTAGGATTGCTTTTGCTGGAGTTCAGATGAATGAGGGGAAATCTCATAGAGACTTAAAATTCGAACAGGATTAACAGGGTGGGTGCAGGGAAGATGTTCCCCATGGTGGGTGTGTCCAGAATCACTGGTCACGGTCTGATGATTCAGGATAGACCATTTAGGATGGAGATGAGGAGACATTTCTTCACCCAGAGTGGTGAGCCTGTGGAATTGATTACCACAGGAAGTAGTTGATGCCAAAGCATTGAATGTATTCAAGAGGCAGCTTGGTATAGCACTTAGGGCAAATGGGATCAAAGGTTATGGGGAGAAAGCAGGATTAGGCTATTGAGTTGGACAATCAGCCATGATCGTGATGAATGGTGGAACTGGCTTGAAGGACTGATAGCTGCTCCTGTCTTCTGTGTTCCTATCCTACATGGCTTTGCCGCTCCTCTGTGTTGTTCAGCTGCTTGCCTGACGTCCAGATGAGCCACCTTGAGAAAATGAGATGTCTTCAGCACCCACTGTAAATCTTTTCCTGTCTAAAATCTGTTCCTCTCCCTGGGCTGAGCTTGTTGATAAATGAAACGATTTAAACTTTAAGTCCTATTTGCCCTTCGCTTGACCTGAATGTCCCTTCATTACACAGGCAACCCACTTCCAATTCTGTCAAATCTCCCATCTCTGCCTATCTGCTGTTATTATGCGTACACATGTATTTGTTGCCCTGAGTTTCAAATATTTTGGTATTCTCTTGTTCTTTCTGTCATCTTCTGACACTAGCTGACAAAGATAGAATAACACAATTGTTACAACACAGGAGAAAGTCATTCAGCTTACTGTCTACATTGGCTGTCTGAACATTTCACTTGTTTCCATTCTCCACAAAACTCTGTATATTGTGCCTTTTCAAATAATTGTCAAATTCCCTTTCAAATGCCAGCATTGAAATGGTTTATATCACATGAACAGGTAATACATTCCAGATTTTAACCACTCACTCTGTCAAAAAAGTGTTTTCTCATATCCTTTCTGCCGTTGCTTTAAGTCTGTACCTTCTTGTTCTCGATCCTTTTAATAAGTGTGAATAGTTTCTCTTTACCTATTTGGTTCAGAGCTCTTTTCTTTTTTGAATAGCTCTATTAGATCTCTCCATGCCCTTTTTTGCTCCAAAGAGTACAGTCCTGACGTCTCCAATCTATATAGCCAAGTTTGTGAATGACACAAAAATAGGTGGGAAGGCAAGTGGTACGGATGGCACAGTTTGCAGAGGGATATAAACTTGTTAAGCAAGTGGGCAAAAAGCTTGGCAGATAGAATATAATGTGGGGAAATGTGAGGTTATGCATTTTATCAGGAAGAATAGAGGAGCTTAAATGGGGCAAGACTGCAAAATGCTACAGTCCAGAGGGATCTGCAAGTTCTCATCCATGAATCGCTGTTTTTCAAACAGTAAGGAATGAAGGGTTTTGGAGAAAAAGCAGGGAAGTGGTGTTGAGGATTATCAAATCAGCCAT